CAGCGCGTTCGACATGATGGACGGGTGCCCCGCCCATAAGGACGTGGACTTCTGCCTGCAGGGCGGAGGCAGGCACCCCCTCAGCGACTACTACGCCAACGCGCGGGCGGACTTCATCTTGAAGGTCGGAGTCCAGCGGCGCGCGCGGCCGAGGACTGCGCGCGACATCCTCCGAAACAACATACTGTAGCGGATGCCGAGCAGCACGGCAAGCTGCGAGCTTGGACGACGGCGGCGGCGGGTTCGGCCATGGACGACATCCACGACTAGACCCCCACGAGATCGCGGGCGACCGCCCCTCCTGCACCCGCGCGGCTCGCGCAGCAGCGTCGTCGGCTCGTTCGGCGAGGGTCGAGCTGACATCGCGGCCTCTGCCTTGCCGCGACGAGCACCGAGGCGGGGCGGGGGCGACCGATGCGCGCGGAGCGCGCGCCTTCGGCTTTGCCGGGAATCATCGCGCGCGCGCGCTCGCCCCCCCCGCCTCGCCTCGCTCGCTGATTCTGCGGCGCCACTGCCAGCTGCCCGGGAGAGGGGGCCATCTCGACGGCCGTCAAGGCGGAGGATCGGGCCATGGGAGCCGCGTTCTTCCATCTGGGGCGGACGGTTGCGAGCAACTGTCATGTGGAGCCCCAGTGGCCTGCTGTGTCTGGCACGGCTGCAGGAGCGGGTAGGCCGGCCCGCACTGCCTCTAGCACCCCTGAGCCCCAATTTCCGATCATTCGGGGACACCACATGGTCACCGAGAGCCGTTTTGCTTATTTTCTGAACTGCGGGGGCTCAGCATCCACCTGCCAGCCCCAAGTACTGATGGCGAAGAGCACGGGCCACGTTATCCTGGAAGAACCGTAGGCCCCGTACCACGGCCTTAAGAAGCCTGCGGGTCAAGTGTCACCTGCGAACGGAGATCCCCATGAGTAGCGATACCCACGCGCTATTGGCCGCGCCGCGCACGGGCGAGCGCGACGCTGCGGAGGAGGCGTGGGAGGACGCGAACATGCTCCAGGCCGCGAAGGCGACTGCCGCGGATCCCGCGGCGACCACTGCAGGCCGCAAGGTCTGGGAGGAGACGACGCGCAGGAACAAGGGCGAGCCTTGCGGTCGGGGCCTCAGGGAAAATATGGACACGTTTAGCTATCACGCGCGGGAACGTGCTGCGGGGATTGGTTTGCCGTAAAGATGGGTTTTCACTGTCCAATATGAAGTGTATGTGAATGACTGTGGGCGCGCCGCGCGCCAGTGACGGCGGGCGCTTAGAGGAAAGGAGTTTGCCGATCGTTGGCTTGGGAGAGGGAACAGGAGGGGCCCCTCGCCCCAGATCGATGAACCTCCTATGCCGAACCATTTAGCCGACGCACTATGGTAACATCTCGCCCGTTGCTTTCCTCTTCACCCAGCTGGTGTTGCAGTGCGCAGCGCTGCAGGCTCTATCCGCGCATGCGGATCGACTGTCAGGCTTTCAACGCAGCATTTGTTCCCAACCATCCTGTGGTGTTGGGTCCTCGCTTTGAAGGAACAGCGCCGCGCGTCATCGTCCTCCTCATCCCTCCTCCCATCACCAGTACAATCGCCATCTTCGTCAGCACCGTCATCAGATCGCCACTATCATCGCCACTCATTTCGGCACACTCCTCACACTTTTCGTGGTCCCTCACAGAGCTCCACCGAAGGCCTCATAAGCGGTGTTCGCACGCGTCTCCCCCATACAGCAGCGCTTCACTGCCCCATGGCGGGCTCCACCGAAGGCCCCAGTGGCGGTGTTCGCATACGTTCCCCCCACTCGGCACAGCGCTTCGTTGCCCCATCGGGAGCTCCACTGAAGGCCTCACTGGCCGCGTTCGCCTGCGTCTCCCCCACTCAGTATAGCGTTTCGTGGTCCCACAGGGAGCTCCACCGAAGGCCCCAGTGGCGGTGTTCGCATGCGCTTCCCCCACAAAGTACAGCGCTGTTGGCCCCACAGGGAGCTCCAAGGAAAGCCGCAGTGGCGGTGTTCGCATGCGTCCGCCCCCCCATACCCCCACCCACATACCCAGTCCAGCGCATCGTGGCCCCATAGGGAGTTCCATCGAAAGCCCC